ATCATAGCGTTTTCACTTTTTTTAATTAATTAATGAAAATTAAAAATAATTATTGCTAATAATTAAAAAGAAATTAAAAAATTTGTATTTCGCCTATGTACGATATTTGCTTGCAGGATAGAAGTGATCGTGCAGTTTGTGATTTTACACGATTTAATAACACCTTAGAACTAAAAATCATAGTTATATTGTCTGCATTATTTATATGTTTGCTTAACGTCAACGCAACCATAGTCAATTCAACTGATTTGGCTTGGACACAACGAGAGTGATAGAAGTAATTAGAGAATATTTGATAAGAATGAAACCATGGGCGGTTAACCGTAATTTTAATATGCAGGCGGACGTAGGTAAACGCGCGCGCTTTTCAGCGCGATTACGAGTACGTATATTTTAGAAATTACTTTAAAAGTACAAATATATCCAACTCCGTCTTAACACTTCGTAAATAACACGGTTCACTAATGGGAGCAAACACTTTTTTACACGAATTCTTTTTTTAGCATTAATCCCAAAAAAATTGTTCTAATTTTTGATTTACAAAAAAAACACAATTGAGGGAATAGTTATGTTCATATGGGTATCAAATAAAAGAACTGGGCGAGAATGTGAAAAACATAGTGATGGTTATGCGGGATTCGGTTCCCGCCGAATATAACTTTCTTACTTTTTCACTTATATATAAGTAATATGTTCTGCATTATTCGTTTTTTGCACGGTTTTTTGAAAAAATATAAAAAGTTTTTTCGTCTTGTACGATTTTTTAAAGTTGTGGAACATATAATCAAATTTGTCATAATTTGCACGTATTCTTTTATACGATTTTTTTTGCACGGACATCTAAAGAACGCATCTATCGAGTTGGTGTATAAAATTGGTCTGAAAGTGTTATCGGAATTTTGACTAATATTGCTGAAGATCCAGGAGCACCGTAGATTTTTCTGTTAAAGTTGCACTAAAAGGTTTAACACATACCGAAACCGACAGGTCTCGTCTGTAACGAATAATTCGTTAATAGATCGTTTGTTCACGCGGTACGATGGTTTCAGTGGTGGTACATTTGTTATTTTCAAAACAATGGAAAACTCTGAATATCAAGCGCTTGCTTTTGATAAGAAAAGGTATCGTCCAACCTTAGCTTTGGCTTGGAAACTATCATGGCGACCTTTCTTCATCGAAGGTAGCAATTTGCCGATTTCAAACGAACACAGGTAAATGGGTATAACGTTGAGCGCGGTTTACGCCCAAAACTAAACAACGAGGTCTACTTACTCTAGAAAACATAAAAAAATCCCGAAAATTATTTTCGGTAATCGAAAAACGAGGAGAAGAATATAGCTGATATCCTGAAATACCAAAATGCAGTACATTGGATTAAAATTTGATCATTTTCCAAATGAGTTACGCGTTTGCTCATTATGGAGCAAAGCTGTTTAGAGCAATAAAGCGAAATTATAGTTTAAGTGAAAGGACTTGGGAAAAGCGCTGCAAAAGCGTAACAACTTTCCGACAGGATTTTGGACTCCAGAACCGCACTGAAAAATAAAGCGCTATAAATAATGAAGGTTTTGTGTTACCCTTGGGTCGGATGAAGGGAAAATTTCCAAAAGTTTTCCTTCTCAAAGACAATGCGCAATGGCTCGAGTCGTTGGCTACAATATCAAAATTTCACGAAAGTATTGACAAATCGTCCTATAAAAACACCTTCGCGATGTAAGAAAGTCGTTAGATTGATTATGCCTTCTTAAGGGCGGATTTCTTGGCGAATATTTCTCAAAAATTGTTTTTCTTACGTAGCCTAGCGGCTAATTCAATTTTCTTTCTTGACCATTTATTGGGGGGGATTTCGTCTGTTCGTGTAAGGCTGCGACGGTCAGAAAAAAGTAAGAAAAGAGAACGTAAGCCTAGTGAATGTGTGGCCAATCGACCTACCGACTGAGCTTTTACTGTAGCTGTACCACACTGAGACTTGAATCCGTGAACGCGGACTTGATAGTCGCTAGTCATGCGGACTTAATAAGGTTGCGATGTTAAAACGTCTCTTCAGGCTGTAAATGTCAATACAAAAAATTTAAATTTTGTAGAGACGGGCATAACGAAATATTAGACAGTTTCAAGACGGTTTTCTCGTATTACTTCGTAAATGTCAAGCATTTTGAGCACCAAATATTAAAATTAAATTGACTGCAACTTTTTATTCTACCAGCTGAATATAGTAAAGAGAAACGAAAAGAAAATTGAAGGCAAAGACAAAATTTCCTGTAATACCGAAGCATGTGCTTCGCATTCGATAGCAAACAATAAGGCTCGCCTTCTGCAAATCGGAAAAAGTGACGATTTGAAGACTATACAAATTGAAAAATTTCGCTAATTCCGACATCAGTTTTCATATACGCGTTTCTTGTTGTCTGTTCGTAACTTACTTCTCCAATCACCAATTAAACAGATGCCAACACTTTTATCGTTGTACTTAGGAGCGTGAGCGCCGACAACATTAAACCCTCGACCTACATAAATGTTGCCATCCCCACCTATCCCAAAACTATAACCGATATCATTCCAGCCACGTTCCAGTTGATGGAAATCTTGCATGCTTCGCATTGCCTTTTTGCAGTCATCGGTTGTGTAACAAGCTGCAGGAGTATACGAATGATGAATGATCACAAACGCTGAAGGGTCTGTGAATTTTTCCACTAATATTGGATCACGTGCACCCCATTCACTGCGCGATATTATTCGGCTACGCAATGGCGTCGTTTCGTTCATCCAACCTGTACATATAGAAAAATTGAATTTATAATTATTTATAATATTTATAAACGCAAACTGCACACAAATATTTATTCAATGATTTTCTTTTTAATTCCTTATTAAAGTTGTTTTTATATGATCATATGCATTCACATTCAATTATTTTATTTATGCATCAAACATTCAATTATTTTACAACATTTACAATCTGACTTGTGAATAGTCATGTGAACGGTCGGAGCTTTTACCCTCTCTCTACGAATGTAAATATTTTATATCTGCTTGTAATTAAAATGTCTTTTTCTTCAGAGAATTAACAAACTCTCTAATACTGTGTTCTTTATATTTTTAACGAGCAATTCAAGCTTATTATTCTTTTCGTGATCATATGCTTGAGCACTTATAATGATAACGACCGCAGCGATAATACATTCATTGAACACAATTTCTCTTCTTCTCTTCTTTTTTCAGACTAAGATGAAACGTTAAGAATATATGGATGAAATGTTGTCCTAAATTCTAATAACGTAACGTTCACATTTATTCACTGACACTTGCTGCATCTCACTTCTAAAAACACTATGCGTTAATATAACTCTTTGAAACATGTTCAACCTGCTAAGCAGGTAACTAACGCTGAACACGATATGTATGTAGCAAAACACAAAAAGTAACTACGACAAAGCAAAGGAAACAAACATTTTTTACATATGTTCAACCAATGTATGAATGACGAGTTTTTATACCCATCAACGAAGGCTGAGCCATATCTTCATTATGTCAAAACGGCTGCAACGCCCAGACGGAAGTTTCAGGGACTCAACCAAATATATATATTCTTGATTAGCTTCAAATTTTGAAGCGATTTAAGCATGTGGCTCTCTCCGTTTATGTAATGTCTACAGTAAACATTCTCTTGACCGCAAAAAAAAAACCATCGACTTTAAATTTGGCAGAAACATTGGAAGTTCTTCCACGCGGGTTCGAACGACACGCCCTCAACACCACATAAACTGAGAACAACTCTGTTTTTCAAAGAGAATGAAAAATTTTTTTTTTTTTGCTCACTACTCATAAACTACAGCAAATAAACGTACTAAAATTTGAACGCACATTCCCTGGGCCTTGCTGCAGCACTCGTGCACAAAAATGGAAAAAGTGGACCCCCCCCTTCCCACAATATTATAGTTGATTAAAGTTTAATTATATTTTCAATACCTTTGTAACTTTTATAACACAGAAACAAGCTTCAAAGACCCCATAAAGTACACAAATTCTTCGCTAGTTTCAAATCTTGAATGCACCTAAACATGTCCGCCTGTTTGTCTGTCCATCTGTCTGTTTGCGTAACTTTGGAGCATGTGCGGTAAACATTCCCCCATTAACGAAAATGAAGGTATCACCTGCAAATTTGCAAATGAATTTGGAATTGACCTAAAATTTATTTTGAAAATAGAAGAAATCAACTGCGTCGACTCCATATTATAGTGTTTGAATTTTTTTGTTTTACTTCCATTTTCTTTTTTTGGGGTAAACGGTGATGGGTATAAAAGGTTCGGTCCCGATTGAATTTAATTTTCTTATTTGTTTTTTTTACAATCGCTCGTTTCTCTCGTTGGCTGATCGTGCTTACGTGTCACGTATGTCCGAGGCGACTCTTCTTTTTTGATACGAAAATTCGTTTGGATTTTATTTAAAATTTTCCATACTTTATGACACATTCTGAAGCCCTACACCACGTAAAGGCGACGGAGGTTTAGTAATTGTTAACAAAAAACTCTACAGCGGTTCTCTTAATTTGCGAATTTAAGTTGAGAGGAGTAGTGAGAGGGAATTTAAAACTAGGTCTGTTTTTCTTTATTATGATCTTAAACATGCGGAAAGATAGACACAACTATATCGATACTGCTGTCTATGAGGATTAAAAGTATATACTTTTCTTGTCTTGTTTGTACATATATCGGTGGTTTGCAAATATTACGCTTGCCTACGCTCTTAACTTCTACAGAATCTTGAATCATTTTAATAAATTCGTATCTCTTTTTTAATATCATTATATTAGATATGTTACTAAGGGAATGAAAAACTAAGTACACTCTTTAGTATAAATGCAATAGCTAGCTTGACGATTACAGATAAAATTTCTGATTAATTATTTATAATAATTCGCAGGGGATTCCTCTTTCATTCTAACAACTTTATTGATAAATATAATGATGTTACGTGCATATATATATATGTATATATATATCGCAGAAGCAATGAATTGGGTATATTATATAAAAGTACGCATAAAGTTAAAAATTATTACATAAATATTCAAGCAACTCTTCTTGCCTTTTGTTATTTTTCTGGGCTAATTATCCTTTTCTTATTGTAATGGCGCCACAACTCTTTAGATAAATGACTATGCAATGCGGATAAGTTTAGTATTATAAAATCGCAAAAGCACAAATATGTACACACACACACACTCTTATGTGAATATTTCACCGCACACCATTAATTGCTGCCGTCTGTTGATAATTTAGAGCGCGTAGTAGTTATGATACGGCTATAGAATTCTGTCGCTTAGAGCAGCAAAATTATTCACATTAAATATTGTTTTGCAAATGAAAGTAATTTCGTAGTAAATTATAAGTTTTGTACATGTTCACAAATTAATTAATTTTCATACCTACAACAAAGGCATGCGGGCATATTACGTTTGTTCTTTTATTTGCATATATTTTTCTGAATATGTGCATATATAAAAACTATATATGACTCTATATGTTATAACTGTTTTTTTTTTTTCGATTCACTACGCGTTAATGGTAAGCGGTGTTTATACATTTGGGCCGACTACTGCACACAAACAATATATACGATATACAACGTCACCTTGTCTTTCCTGGAGTCCTTGTTGGATTTTTAATTTCGATAATATATTTTAAATGGTAAACGGCTCCACCCAGGCGATAACTAACTTGCCTTTCATATTTTCCTGTTGAGTGTAAGATTTTACGCTAATCAAATATAAAATATATGTCAAATCTCAAATTGAAACTAACATAAAGCTTATGTCAACCAGTTCCAGAATTAAGTTCCAGAATTAAAGTTCAAAAGCGGCTGTAACCTCAAAATAGAAGAATTTGTCCGGTGAGCTATGGTCGTTTTCGAGTAAAGCTATCGTTGTGAACGTCAACAAGAGACGGTCTCGTCCTTATATCCTAAAAAAAAGGTTGGTCGACAATGGCAGAAAAAAATCCTTGACTACTCCTTGACTACTCCTAAAAGGCCACCTTTAACTTTTGTGTTAGAAGAAGTTTAATCACCGTTTTGCCTATATTGCTTTTTGTCCAGAAAGCATTAGGTAGGTAAAAGATTTTCATGATAATTTTGAAGATTATTTCCTTTCTGTTATAAAAGATGTGAACAGATTTCTTAACCCTTCCATTATCGAACCCCCAGGAGATCAACCGTCACCACAGCCCAAATATCTTATTATTTAAATATGATACTAGTTGTTATTTGCTTTTGTGGGATGTATCTATAGTGTTCTAACTAAATGAAATTAGCAATTTTACGACAGCAATTTTACACAAGTGCCACAGTGCAGTAGATAGGTAAATCCTTTGGCAGTTCCGTCGTCACATATTGTGAAAAAATTATCATTAACTAATAATGAACACCAATCATATATTTGTGATGCTGGGCGCACGTAACAAAGTCTGATGTTCGTGTATATGTGATACTGATAGTGAAACGGTTAAGGAACTTCTATGGGCAATGTGATCTTCGCTTATTACAATCCCACTTTCCCCATTATCTTAGCGGTTTTTTAAATGTTAATTTTATTATTTTATGTTTAAGAATCAATGCATTCTTTATTCTCCTTGAAATTTATTTTTAATAAGAGTCTACGTTTAAGTCGACTCTTAGACATCTCTTGTTGCAAATAAATGTAGTACAAACCAAGATAAAAAGAGTTTTCATTGGTATTGGGGATACAAAAGAAAAAATATAAGCATCATTTGCGGTTTATGCCGGCTACCTGTTTACAAATACTTAGGGTACTGAACACTATGCAGTGTGATATTCATGCATGCGTATCAAAAATTCTACTCCTCAAATGCCCTAGGTGCATATCATTAAAATAAATCTTTTTTATTTTTGTTATTGAATTAAAGCAAGCAAGAAATTTATATTCGGCAGGGGCCGAATCTCGCATACCCACCACTATGTTTTCTGCATTCCACTCTCTAAGTTTTTTTTATTTGATACCTATATCGCTACTATTATTAAGAAAGAGTAAGTGTCTATCATATTCATTTTAAAATTAACCTTCTTGTGTAGGCAGATAATATATCTTCATTTACAGAGTGTGCAAGACGGTTTCAAACATTCTGTCCTGTTTGCCTTATGCTAAATAGGCATAAAACCTCAAAAAAATGAAAAAAACAAAATTTAATCACTTGTAACTTTGTGTGGGCATGCTGCGTTTTTCATTTTTGCGCGTAAGGAGTAGAGTGCCTCATAAAGTAAATATGGAAAATTTCAGCCTTCTAGCGTCTATAATTTTCGAGTAACGACAAAAATTCATAAATTTTTGTTAAAAAAAACGGAGTTGCGTTCAGTTTACGCTCCACTGCGCGCTTCCGCTTCGATCGACTTCGTCAATTTTCAATACTAACCTGCGTGCAGAAACTTCCGATGTTTATACCAAATTTGAAGTCGATATCTTCATTTTTATCAGCAGGAGAATGCCAACAGCACACACCACACAGGCACACTGACATGCAGACGGACAGAAATGGCTAAACCAACTCGCAATTTCACGCTTATCACAAATATATATACTCTGTAGGGCGTCTGGCACTTCCTTTTGGGTGTCACATACATTATGGAAAAAAACAAAATGAGTATACCCCATCTTACAGTGATGGGCATAAACAGAATTTTATGAAATTGTGTCCAAGTCAACGAACAATAAAATCCCTTATTGATTATTAAAGTAGAGGAAATAATGCTTATTTCTAAGCAATGGTGTCATTTTTTTAATCTTTACGCGAAAATAATTGTGTACACAACTGATTTTGTACAAGTTAGGCAATCGAATCTGCACACGCAGGTGGGACAATCTTCTCGCGTAAACACTCATGCAAAAATTTTGTTTTTGTTTTTATACATAGCAAAAACTAGAAACTTTAAATTGCAAATTTCTCAGGAGGCTGCGTTATGCACCACATTCGATGTAAAACGGCATGCGACGCCGTAGTGCCGTAAAGGTGATGGTGAAAAGTTAAAGCTTGGAATTTCGCAAGCATTTCTTCAACTTGTTTTTGCTAATAACTTGCGATGTGTAAAAGATATATTGCTTGATAGTTTGAAATCAATCTCATTCAATGTTATATAAGAGTACTGCCCGTTGAGTAATCGTCACGCCCTCAAAAGGACCGCTGATTTCACAAGTGCGTCTTAAGGGATGAGTGCTCAAAGTTCACCCCAAGGTAAATGTGGCATGAATTTGCGCTTATGAAATTTTTCTCATAAACAAATTACGTTGGCTAAAAGTATTTCCGCCAACACCAGTGGACTCAGTCGAGCCATTGCAGACGCGATATGTGTGATTGCTTCTAGTCGCACCGACAATTTTTGCGTTTAGAGCAGGGTTTTCGGGATTCGCATTAAAATAGATATAACGTTCTGGCTTAAATTGATTTAATTCTCGTAAAACTGAATGGAGTTTTCGTTGTGTGTATTGATGCTGAGATAATTTAATTGAATTCTCACTCCCCGCAACATTAAATGTCGCTGCATGTCATTTGTTTGTTTTACAAGTATATACAAGTAAGCAATATCGACATATGTATATATATATGTATGTATGTTTATATAACTACATATTCATATAACTAGAAAATTGTATTATCAGTGTTCGTTAACTTCTCTTACCCATCATTGATAACAACACAAAACCAAAAGCTGTCATCGTTTTTGTTGCTTATCTAAATCCTTTTAGGTTGTTGTTGATTTTTGGTTTGTTGTGTTTTCACGCTTGTGCATTAATCAATTTAAGTGAGTTTTTAAATTTATTAAAGTTATATATATAACAATATCTACTATATACAGTGTTTCTACTGAGTACATTCATCGGTTACATGTGAATGGATATATGTTGAGAGGAAACTTTATTTTTAGTTTTTTTCACAACACAAAAGCACAACATGAACAATGTTTTCCACACATGTAATGTTATGTACAAATTAAATGAACTTATTGATCGATTTTACTTTTTTATTTTAAGCAGCGGCGTTTGCTTACATCTAGTGCAACACAAATTCAGACGCGAAATGTCAGTATGACTTGAAAAATTCATAAATTTATTATTATCATTATTTTGTAAAAACCTTTTATTATCGCAGAATTTTATTTTTACATATATATATATAAATATATTTTTTTCTGCTTACTAAAAAATAGAGTTATTTTTGTTTTTATCACCTGAAAAGAAAGAGGGAGATAGGTCTCTACGCTTAAACCGTAGATTTGATTACCTAACATGCTAGGTCGCTTTAGGTAAGATACGCTAACATTGACTATTGGTTGAGTTTGATGGTCTTAAAGATTCCCGCATTATGTTGGAGTATGTACAGGATTCTCCATAAATCAGTCTGCGAATAGGGCCTAGTGAAAAAGTCTCAAAATTTTAGAATTTTCCCCCAATAGCAACAAAAAATGTATGCAGCGCTTATCAAAGGCAAATATTGGTTTGCTTTTGATTCTTTTGGTAATATTAAGTGAAGGGAAGTGAAGGTATTTCTTATATACTTGATTTACTTGAATTCACGTATGGAAAAGATTAACTGTATTTGTTTTTCCAAGTGAAAGCATTCTTAAGATAGAATGTACAAGCATGACTGAATTTTTATTTTTATTGAAGAGGTATCCACAAATTTTTCGCTACCGTCGAGTGCATACTCGATGGTTGCATTTGCTATTTTTGCTCCAATGAAAATCTGCTTGCGCTTTTTCGTTTGCTCATTGCATGTGTGAAGTTGAATTGTTATGAAATTGGTTTTCAATTGTTTATGTTAGATGATTATCAGAATGAGATTGGTTCTAAAAGGCTCTATAAGGTTCTACGTGAACGACTTTCATTAAGTTTTAGCGTGAAAGGTTTCTTGCGCACAGAAGCATCAATGGCTGATACCGTAAAGCTTGTATATATTTCAGCAGATTGGATGGAGGAATCGATTATGCTACTTCCATTAGTCTTTTAATTGGAGCTTAACGAAATTTAGGTTAATCGGTGGGTGGCTTATTTCGACAGTATGGCACGCATATTACGACTTGCCTATCAAGAAATTGAAGTGATACAACGTTGTCCTACTTATGCTATGTATTATATACCTTAGTCGATCTATACATTGTGTTCGATGTATTACAATGTTCATAATGTAGACCAATTTAATTTTTTCATTTTAAATCTATTCCCGGGTCTTTTTGCGAATAGCTTCATGCGAATGACGCATAACGCTCAAATACAATACTCCCTATTAACAATTTGGTGAAAGGAATTCATAGTGCACAGTCTCAAGATGATCGATGAAGACTTCTAGCACCACCATGATTTTTGAACCACTTTGATGCTGCTTTTGCGGTCTGGTTCATCATTCGGGTCGCATATAAACGTATTTTTCTCATCTCCCGTAATAATCGCAAACAAAATTCACCGCCACTTCTCTGCTAAGCAAAACCACTTATTGTAAAAATCGGAAATAAAACTTTATATCATACAAAGCCAGGCGCAATAGAAACGCCAATGACGTTTATGATGTCAAATTTGACAGAGACGTCTGCCACAGTGCTACCATTCGATACCACTCGCGCAATTTAACTTGAATATTGGTTTTACATTTTGGACATAGTATTTTGTTCTAGCCCCGAACCCATGCGTAATTGATTAAGCCAGAACGCTTCAGAAGCTGAAATTAATGTAAACATCCCATCGCTTTCAAGCGTCCATTAGCCGGTTTAAGAGTTTGACATGAATACTTCTTATGCTACGTCCAGAAGCACTTTCTTTCACTGAATCTTCGGTGATGTGAGAACTTCTTCTAACATCTCATCTGAACTCCGTGTTATTAATGTTTTCGCGCTATTTTCCATCAACTTCTAAAGCGGTTGGTCTCTCGAATTGACTCTCGAATCAATTAGTTTTAATGGCAAATTGTTTTAAACAAATTTATACACAAAATCTTTAGATAAATTCCTCCCGAACACGCTCACACAATTTATGAAGGCAAATTTATTTAATTTGAAAGTAAATTGCAAACAACTTTAACCACATCAACTCTGTGAGGGATGCGGTTCATCTGGGCTTATGGGTTTTACAGTTAAGAAAAGGAAATACTTACAATTTCTCCAATTGTGCTTTAATGCTTTAAAGTTTTCGACCCCAGTTTTTACTACTTCTTTAACGTACACCGAGATAAGTTTTCTGTTTCAAAGTTTTTCCAAAAATCCTTTCTTTGCGTAGGTTAACAATTTTTATTTTGTATTTTTTGCAATATTAATGGGACGAAAAACGAACTTTGAATACTTCTCGCATCCTTTGTATGGTTCGAGGTAATAGTCGTGTAGATTTAATACTGCACTTATTGTCTTAATTAGTTTACCTGTAGAAGTATTAGAACGAAAATTATCAGAGAAGTAGCGTAAGTGACGTAAAGCGTAGTGACGTAATCAAAGGCCCGGTTCTAAATTATAAAAACTAATTGCAATTTGTTCAAAGCATTATTTCGAAATACCGATAATATAATGATGGATCGATTAACTTCGAACTGAAATATCGAATTAGCATGAAATAATTGCTATGTACATGCTACCATCAGAATGTATATGTGCACATGTTCCTAGGATGACAAACGCTTTTGACGACATCCCTATTGACGAGTCCGTACAATTTTTAGATAGCGCTGAGGTAGATAGTTTGCAAGTTGCAGTTGCTTTAGTGACACTACATACGAAATTCAGGTTTTTTGTGGCTGTTTTGCAAAAACGAAAGTAAAAAAAAACAACTATACCTTCATATCAAAATCATTGGATTCGCCAACAGTGCCGACGTCTATCTATACGGTCGTCCTACAACCATATTGAGTGATATGTTGCCTGCTTGCGAATTTTTCGCAAATGGGTCCATATTGGGCGGAAGTGTCCTAGTCATATAGAGTACATCTAAAGAAAAAACGATAATTGAAAGAATTTTTGGCCATTTTATATAAATGAATGTCTTCAACACATTCGAGCATAGTTACCCTAAATCCCTTGTCAAAGTATACCAAGTTTGTTCTGATGTATGTGGCTTGCAAAACGGCTAGAGACAAACTATCCGATTATGAATCGTATTTACCTTCAATATGTCTCGAAATGAATTGGCGAAAAGAACTGGTTTTACGTGCAAAATTAGAAATGAAAACACACAAGTGCTTTCATAAGACAACAAGATCTAACCTCCGATGAAAATAAGCCTTGGCTCACTATAATGTTTTAATTTGCGTTTAAGTAAAATTAGATTCCGTGTTCGTAAGGTACTGTCCACGTTTTTGGAACTGAAGTGAAGATAGCCCACTAAAATAAGCCACATTTTTTAAGGTTCGAATCTTCGATAAAAATGTCTTTGTTAAGTTACGATTTATTGCGAAGTAAACAACAAGCAACATATAAAATAAGTATTGAAATTAAATAATATAAGCAAACGTGCACCTATAAAACAAACTAAGCCTCTAATTACGAACACAAAACCAAAAAAGTTGCTACTAAATCTCATGCAAAAGTACTGTAAAAATACTGAAAAAATGCAATGCCCAATTCGTGTTATAACAATTTTCAGAGGCGTTGCGCGACTACAGATTTTTGATATGTCTGGAAAAATGCTGAAACGTACCAGAAGAGTCTCATTTAATTACCATTTCTAGGCTTTATCGTCGCCAAATTCGCCCCTAACCTGTTCGCTCCACATACACAAGATCTTCGATCCTTGGCAAACGGCTTGATAAAGTTAGTAAAGATTCATTGTATGCTAGGTGGGTATAAAAAAGTTTTTTAATTGCTTTTCGCAAGCATAAGGTTTCCTCGACACGTTTATAAATTTTGGAAATCTCTCATGCCTCGGAAATTCAACTAGGTAAGTGAGTGAAGCATTACATTTTGTTTATTACCAGACAATATTGGTGCCATAACTATGACTACAGATAATATTCAGTCACGAATATTAAAAAGCAAATGCTTTTAACGCTAAGTATGTAAATGGAAAATGAATTAAATTACTTTGAGGTTTTTGTACTTAAGCAAAGTTTTTTCAGGTCACAATTCGATATAAAATGCGTTTTAATTTGTCGTAAAACTTTTTTTTGTATTGATTGACTCTAAGCTTAATTTCCAAGCAACTACAAATTAATTGAAATTTCTATCATTTAATGTCAAGTTTTTTTGGCCGAATATTTTTGTTTCTTTGACTATGTTTTCCTATTCGCGAAAGTCTGTTACTTCGAAGAATTTGCACCACTCCGGGCATTTGATAATCAACACAGTAGTTACAATTGTTTTTATGCAATGTAAACAAGCTAGCTGTTGTTGTTGCTGCTGTTACTGTTGTTGTAATGAAATTAAATATTTATCAATTTGTCAAAGCGGGGGATTTACATTCTGTCTTGAGGTAATTTACAGACAAGTTGTTTCACCTTGCAATCAAGATGTTTACGTGTAGGTAGAGAAGAAAAAGAGGAGACTGCGGGGTTCTCGTTTCAATTTTATTTAATAATCGATTAAAACTTTCATTATTCAATCGGATTCTTTTTGATTTTTTCAATGATTTTTATATTTATTTAATGATTTTTAAGTTTATTTAATGATTTTCATTTGTACGGCTTTATAATGCTTCGGTAAACACCTACCCCAGCCAAAACAATTGTACATTAAGTGATTAATATATTTGCACTGTGTAAATATTCTACTGTAGTTAAGTGTTCCTAAGACGGTGAAAGAAGCATAAAGGGCATAAATGGCACTGATCAGCCTAAACGGAGGAATTGTTTTAGTTATGTCGTGTCACTAGTTGAAATTTCAGAGCTTTAATCTTGTCGGAAAGAAGAACTTCTTGCTTTTTAAACATTTTTTTTCGTCCGTCTGTTGCCAAAGTTGTCGAAAAAATCGCAGACTCTTGCACGCAGGGTGGTAATTAAACACAACGATAAGAATTTGCACTTATGTACCATAGACGATCCTGCAGTATATTTTTGGATTTAAGAAATTGGCCACGCCTATTATTATAGAGTATTGAAATG